GGGCTCTTCCTTGGAGTCACTCTGAGGATTTGAACCAGCCATCTTTCCGGTCAGGTTGCAACTGGGCTTCCAGGGCTCCTTTTTGCTTAATGTAATGCCTTGCATATGCTGTCAGCATCTTCTTTATACACTGCTGCCAGATCTGTGCCATCTCCATAATTGGTTGTACATTAGATATTTGTGATTATACATTGTCATTGGCTGATTTTTGGAAGTAGATTGCCAAATCTTTCGTCCTAGTCCATCATAGTCTGAAAAGTTCTGGTGAAACCTGTTCAGCATCATATAAACATCTGAGTGTCCATGGACAGACCACAGCATGAGGTGTATCAGCTGGGAATGAAATTGAAGTTTCCAACACAGAAGGTGAGAATTCTACCAGTGAACCATCAATACCTCTGTCCTGCATACGTTTTTGTTGTTGCCACTGAGTCAAGACTGACTCATAGATGACCCTCCAGTAGGTATTCAGAGGCAATAAATTCCAGAGGCTGTGAGAGAGGGGACTGTCTATTCTTCTCCCACAGAAAAGCTGGTGAGTTCAAACCATATGCCTTTGGGATTGCAGTGAAGCTTCTTACCACTAGGCCATAAGGTTTTTGAAACCTTACTGATGTTGTTGTTGTTGTTAGGTGCCGTCAAGTCAATTATGACTCATAGCAACCCTATGAACAACAGATCTGAACCCTAAATGAGGAGGAAAGCTTCAAATATTCATTAACAACCAGACTGTAGGGGAAGTGAGGTCCTAGGAAAATTTAAGTTGTCAAAATGAAATGGATAAAGATCAACTTCCTAGGCATTATTAGCAAGTTGAGATGGACTAGTATTTTGAGCTCTCCCTAGAGCGCCCATATAGCGAGTCTCAAGAATTAAAAAAAAAATTCATTTATCATATGAATACGAGTTAATATTTTACATACTTAATATCTTTTAAGTCATACTCCAGGGGTAAAGATCATGTTTTATACTTCTGGTAGCCAAATCATCTATCCTTATGCTTTTTGCATAGTTGCTGTTGTGTATTATCAAGTCGGAATTGACCCATAGCTGACCCTCCCGCAAGTTTTCAGAGGCAGTTAGTTAATCACACAGGAAGAGATTGCCCATCCTTCTTCCAGGAGCATCTAATGGATTTGAACCATGTTCCTTTGGGATTGCAGTGCAGTTTCTTGCCACTAGGCCTGGCACTCAATAAATATTCCTTCATCTGACTTTGATTGAAACCCTCTCTACTCTTCTTCCATCACTCGTCTATCAGTCTTCCATACTGTGGCTACTTGTGTATTGTTGTGATGCTGGATTCTATGCTCTAAGTATTTCAAATTCCAGCAGGGTCACCCATGCTGGACAGGGCTCAGTGGAATTCCCAGATGAAGAAACACTAAGAAGCAGGACTAGCTTCAAAAACCTTATGGATAACAGAAGAACACAGGTGGGCATAGAGTCAGATGAGGAGCCTCTCAAGTTCAAAGGCACTCAAAATGCCACACAGAAAGAGGTACCTCCTCCAAGGAGCATCTACCCTGGAGACAAAGAGTGACGTTTTCATGCCATGAAGACTTCACTTACTGATATGACAAGACTAAAAGTGAGGAGGAAAGCATCAAATATTCATTAATAACAAGAACACAGAGTATACAAAGTATGAATATAGGAAATTCGTAAGTTGTCAAAAATGGAATGCCTAGCAAGTTGAGACGGAATGGGTCTGGCCACTTTAAACCAGGCAATCATACGATCTATATGAATGACAAAATGAAAAGGTATGGTGTCCCATAGAAAAATCACATTTCAAGATCCTAAAGGCTGTGACGGGATACTATCCATTATGCATACAAGGAAGGTCTGTTAGTGTTATTTAAACATATGCACCAACTGCTAAAGCCAAAGATAAGATTTCTACCAACTGTTACAGTCTGGAATTGATTCAATAAAGAATGCATTAGTAATAACTGCTGACAGGAATTAAAATGTTGGAAACAAGAAGGACTGGTAATTGGAAAATAGGAATCTGGTGACAAAACTGGAGCTGAAATGGCATAACAGAACTTTATACATTGATTATATATTGCAACCACCTTAAAAGAAACCACACACACAACAAATAGTTAATATATACATGGACCTCTCTTGATTCAAAACAAGCCTGAGGTAGACTGTGGAACAGATCAACTATTCATAAGCATGTTCTAACCAAAGGTGGAGAAAAATTAAGACAAGTCCAAAAGAACCAAAAGAAAATCTTCAGTTTCTCACAACTCAGTTTAAAAACTATCTCAAATTGATGCCCTGACTAAAAAACAAAAATGAAGTGAGAAAGGCATACCTTGACATCAATACCTACTATACAGCAGTAGTAAACAAAACAGCATGGTACTGGTACAATGACAGGCACAGAGACCAATGGAACAGAATTGAGAACCCAGCTATCTATGGTCAACTGATATTCACCAAGGAAATAAAACCTATCAAGCGGGGAAATGACACCTCTTCAACAAATAGTGGTGGCAAAACTGGACTGCTACCTGCAGAAAGCTGAAATAGGATCCACATCTCACACCATACACAAAAATCAACTCAAGGTGGATCAGAGACCTGGGAGTAAAGGCCCAAACCATAAAGTTCATCACAGATAAACTGGGATCAAGCTTAGACAGCCTAGTCTATGGTATAAAGAGACTGCCAAATGAAGCCACAAATGCTCAGTCTGGAGAGGACTGATGAATGGAACCTTCTAAAGATTAAATCCCCGTGCGCATCAAAACCTTTTTCCAACAGAGTGAAAAGAAAACCTACTGACTGGGAAATAAACTGACAATACCATTTTAGACAAAGATCTCATATAAAAAGTTTACAGAATCCTACAGGGCCCCCACAAGAAAAAGACTGACCACATAATTACAAAACAGGTAAAAGACACGGAAAGACTTTTCACAGAAGAAGATATTTGGATGGCAAACAGACACATGTAGAAATGCTTAAAATCATTGGCAATAAGAGACATGCAAATCAAAACTACAATGAAGGGAGGTCTTGTGGCCTAGTGGCAAGAAGCTGTGCTGTAATCCCAAAGGCATGTGGTTTGAATCCACCAGATGCTCTACTGGAGAGGGATGGGCAATCTCCTCCTGTGCTAGGTGGATGTGACTTGGTACACAACAAGAAAAATTAAACAAAACTACAGTGAGATACCATCTCACTCCAGTAGCAGTGGCAAAGTTTAACAGGACAGCAAGTAATGAATTTTGGAGAGTATGTGGCAAGACAGGAGCTCTTATACATTGTTGGTGAGATTGTAAAAGAGTACAACCATTCTCGAAGGCAGTTTGGCACTTCCTCAAGAAGTTGAACATAGATTCCCTATGACCCAGCTATTCCATTGCTTGGAATATACCCTGAGAAAATGAGAACTGGAGACTTGTATACCAATGTTCATAGAAGCTTATTCACCATAGCAAGAACATGGAAATAACCCAAATGTCCAAGCACAATAGAATGGATTGAGAAATTATGGTACAGTCACATGACAGAATATCATATAGCATTCAGGAGCAATGATTTTTGTAAATTATTACCTAACTTGGGAGGGACTGGAGAGCATAATGTTACGTGAACTAGCTCAGAGCCATCTCTGGACCCATAGGCAACATCATGATAAATGAAGAAGACTGAAGTTGTCATCAATTTCATCTTGCCTGGACCCACAATCAACATCCATGATAGCAGCAGTCTAGAAATCAAAATACTTACTGTAGCAGGGGAAATCTGCTGTCAAGGGCCTTTCCAAAGTGCTAACAAGCAAGGGTGTCAGTTTAAAGACTAAGGTGTGGTCATGGTGTTTTCAATTGCTTCCTTTGCATCTGAAAGCTGGATAACGAATGAGGAAAACCAAAGGGGAGAAAAAAAATTATGCCTTTGAATTGTGGTGTTGGTTGAGAGTACCAAATATCCCATGAACTACCAAGAGAACTAACAAATCTGTTTTGGAGGAAGTGAAACCAGAGTACTCCTTAAGGCAAGAATGGTGATACTTGGCCTCACGTACTTTGGGCATGTTATCAGGAAGACTAGTCCTTGGAAAAGACATGCTAGGAAAGGCAGAGAGTGGGTCAGTGAAAGAGGAAGACAACAACATGGACTGAAGCAGTGATACAGTAATGGACTTGAGCATGGCAGAGATGGTGAGGGTGGCACCAGACAGGGGAAGGTTCAGATCTGTTGTTTGTAAGGTGGATGTGAGTTGTAGTCTACCGGATAGTAAATAACAGCAATGATACCTGTTTAATCTGTCTCTTTGATCTAGAAGGTTACATGGCATAGTGGAAAAAGAAAGTCTTTGGCAACAATCAGAATACCACTGCTGTTGGTTAGCAGGGGAACCTTGAGCAAGTTCCTTAAACACTAAGCCTCTGATAGTTTATGTACAAAATAGAAATAAGAAGCATTCATGAGGTTCAAAAGAGGATTAAGTGAAAGAACATATATGTAAAGCCATAAGAATTCAAAAAAACTCACTTGCCCAGTTGATTCTGACTCATAGCGACCAGATAGGGAAAGGCAAAACAACTCTATCAGGTTATCAAAGACCCAACTCTAAATGCTATCAATCTGAATGAGAACAGGCTGCCTCACCTTTCTCCTGAAATGCAGCTGGTGAGCTTCAACCACCAACCTTTCAGTTACCAGGCAACACTTAACCCATTATGTCACTAGGATTCCTCAGAAAGTCATAGATTCAATTGTTAATTCACTGCTGTGGACTAACAGCTGACCTTCTAGTGAGTTTTCAGAGGATGTAAAAAAACTGCCCATCACTTTCCTGAGGAGACGCTGATGGACTTGGGTTGGCAGCATAACTAACTCTTTACCCATAAATTGTAAGCAGTCCTCAGAACAGAGAAAGGAAACACTGCATGGCTCAAAATCAGGAAAGGAGAGATGAAGCGCAACCAGGGGGCAGCACAGCCTCAGCGTGGCCCGGGAGCATGCAGCCGGTCATGGGCAAGTCAACTTCTAAGCAGTTCAATAATGAGGTCCTGAAGGCCCATAATGAGTACCGGAAGAAGCATGGTGTCCCTCCACTGAAGCTCTGCAAGAAACTCAACCAAGAGGCGCAGCAGTATTCTGAGGCCCTGGCCAGAACAAGGATCCTCAAGCACAGCCCCAAGTCAAGTCGTGGCCAATGTGGAGAAAACCTGGCCTGGGCATCCTACGACCAGCCAGGAAAGGATGTGGCTGATAGATGGTACAGTGAAATCAAGAGCTACAACTTCCAGAACCCAGGCTTCACCTCGGGGACAGGCCACTTCACAGCCATGGTGTGGAAGAACACAAAGAAGATGGGAGTGGGGAAGGCCTCTGCAAGTGACGGGTCCTCCTTTGTGGTGGCTAGGTACTTCCCTGCAGGGAATGTTGTCAACCCTGGTTTCTTTGAGCAAAATGTTCTGCCTCCAAAGAAGTAATATGCAAATTCCAATGGGAAGGTGGCAGATCCAAGAACATGAATATGAAGTTCCTGGAACAATAAAAACTCAGCTGTTTCTTTGTCTCTGTGGATGTACATGCTATTTGTAATGTGTACAGCTCAGGATGAACTCATCCTTAACAAAGGAATGAGCTTATGAAGGATGATTGTCTAGACTACAATGATTTGGGCTTTAAGGGTGGTGGAAAGCCCTAATTAAAAAAAAAATTGTTATTTTTTTAAAGAAAAAAGATCAGGAAAGGAGTGCATCAGAGAAGCGTCCTGTCTCCATAGTTTTTTCAATTTATATGCAGAACAGATCATCCGGAAGGCTGGGCTTTATGAGGAGAAATGTGGCATCAAGATTGTAGGAAGATTCATCAACAACCTATATTATACAAATGACACAACTTTCCTTGCTCAGACTGAGAAAGACCTGAAGCATCTGCTGCAGAAGGTCAAGGACTGTAGTCTTCAATATGGACTGAAGCTCAACATCAAGAAGACAAAGATTCTCACCATACAATGGACTGCCAAGAAAACAAATAGGTCTGTCTTGGAAGGGGTGTAACCAAGTTTCTCCTTGGAGGCTAGGATTTTGAAACTGTCTCACATACTTTGGGCACGTGGCCAGAAGGACATCATGCTTGGGAAGGATGGAAGGACAGCTTAGGAGAAGACGACCCCTGATGAGATGGACTGATACAATAACTGGCAATGGGGATAGGTGTGTTAGAGTCAGTGAGACTGGCTAAGGACAGGGCAGGCCTCAGAGCTGTTGGGCACAGGGTCACTGTGCGTCACAGGTGACTTGATGGCACATAACAACAACAACTACATAATGCTTCTGACACTCCTGCATGTAAAATGAAGAGACTTCACAGGTGACATTTACATTGATATTGCTTAAGAAATTGTTATGTGCCGTCGGAATAGAATCAAATTGTAGTTGACCCTCCAATGGGTTTTCAGAGGCTATAAATCGCACAAGAGGATACTGCCCATCTTTCTCCCTTGGAGAAGTCGGTAGATTTGAACCACATGTCTTTGAGTTGGTGGTATAACTCCTTACTGCTAGGCCACAAGAGCTCCCCTTTTAGGGCTTGGTATATCTTATTTATTTTTTATTTTATTATGTGTGTGTGTGTGTGTGTGTGTGTGTGTGTGTGTGTGCGCGCGCGCGCACGCGCGTGGGCACCATCAAATCGGATCTGCCTAGTTATAGGAGGAGATTGTCCCTCCTCCTCCAGCAGAGGAGCTAGTGGATTTGAACCGCTCACCTCTGGGATTGCAGTGTAGCTTCTTGCCACCAGAGCTCGCTAGGCCACCAAAGCTCTCAGGGCTTGGTACATTTTAAATTCACCCAAATGAAATCCATTGCTGTTGAGTCAAATCTAACTCGTGGTGACCCTACAATTGCCCATTTGGTTTCCAAAACTATCCATTTTTACGGACTTGCAGCTGGTGGTTTTGAACAGAGGATTGTTCCGTTAGCAGCCAAGCACATACCCATTATTATCACCAGGGCTCTAGCACATTTGAAATGCTCATAAAAATGTTTGTAATTAACGAAGCTATGTCTCTCTTCTATCAATAACTAGCCAAGATCATGTTTGTCTCACAAAGATTAAACTCTTTTTGGCAAAGGGTATTCCCTGCTGAACCGGCCCAGTGGATTCCAGAGGGAATAGCTGGAGCTCAAAAAAGCAGCTGTCCTCCTCCTGCTGGGGCCCCTATCTGCGCTGACCAGGGCCTGCCTCTCTGCCAGCTGTGTAAACTCTTCATCCCCAGTTATTTCAGGGAATAGTCCAAGATCAGCACTTCTCCAGTGCTTCATTTCAGACAAAGCTCTGGGGATACTGGAAGATCATTAGTCTGACCCTTGGTCTCTAGAGGAAATGAGGAAATATCATCTTGCCTTTGGAGAATGGAGACATCAAGTGCTCAAGGGAAGAGCTTGAGCAACAAGGTGGCAAAGTCAGAAAAGGAGCCAAGATAAAGGGGTTCCAGGACATTCCTAATTGTAGTAAAAATAATCTCTCTGGTTTGCAGAGGCTTTGCAGTTTACATAGCACTTCCACAACTATTAGCTTACTGGCCCATAACACAATCCCAGCATCAGTAACTGAACAGTCATCACCTCTATTCTATAAATGAAGATAGTGAATCCCAGAGTGCATGAGTGATTTGTCCAGGCATAACTGGGTGAGAGGTTAAGCCTGGACTAGAACCCGGATCTAACTGGCTTAGAGTCTAGGGCTCCTCTGTAAACTGGAAAGAGGGACTAAAGACTCTGCTTCCATCAGCAGAAAAATTAGAAAGGTCAGGGTTAGAGTGAAGCCTTTAGAAGACGTGAGGCATAAAAAAAGCTCCCAGGTTTCAGGGAGGCGGGGCTCAGAGTAAGGAATAGGGATTCTGGGGAAGGGTGGAGAGTCCAGGGCTCAATTTGGAGTTTTGGGGGCTCCAAGTGGGTCTGGGGCCCATGGTGAAGCAGTGAAGGCTGGATCCTGGGACAAAAGCGCAGAATGGATTCGGAGGGTGAAGACTGGAGGATTAAGATGAGTATGGGGGAAAAAAAAAGATGAGTATGGGAAATGGTTGAAGAGGATATTGAAAGGACAAAAGATTAACGTAGAGCTCCTGGGACTGAGAGCAAGGAGGAGAGCAGTCGAGGAGTCTTCAAACTAGACGGAATCCGGGAGCAGAAAGAAAATCTGCTGACACCTAGGCTCAGAAAAAGACTGTTCTTCAATCAAACTTACCTGGTCAATTTGCCCCCTCAGAAACGGCTTGAGACTTCTAACTCCACGGAAAAGAAAAACTGCCCAGGAGACCGTTACCCTTTGGTAGCTGTAGTTTCAAGAACTCAACATAAGAACTTAGAAGCATTGGCTGCCTCTCGATTCAGAACTATAACTCCCGAGGTACACCGCGCAAGACTGTCTTTGACTACAATTCCCGAAGGTCCAAGCGGCAGCACGTTGTTGGCAAGCCTCTTAGAATGTGGTGCGAGTCCGCCCCCTGGTGGTCTGAGGAGGTGCCATCACGATGACAAGTCTCGGGGAGGGTAGCCTTCTTAGAAAACCCTAAAGACTCAGCAAGAAAACTATTGGACGTAGTTGACCAATTCAGCAAAGTAGCAGGATACAAGATCAACATACAAAAATC